GTCAATTAAGCTATATGTACATTGTCCTTGATAATGTGATTGACATCCCCCTATGAAGAAAAAATCTCTGCAGTTATGTGATGAATGTATTCAAAATCATGTTGTAGAAAAGTTTACATCACATGAGCACATGCGCAAACATAGAAGTAGAGGTGTGATGCAAGCTAGGCTCGAATTTTACATAGCCTAGCACAACACGGGCAAGGGATACCCATCCAAGGTTGCGGTTGATTTAGGCTAAGTATTTTTATCCTTTTTAATAATAATAAAAAAAAATTAATAGTAAACTAATCAAGATCTTTTCGGAAATAGTTTCCCGATGATCTTCCTACGTGTCAAGCTTGCAGGATCAATGATGAGATTGTTATATTTATAAATTGCGTGACATCAATTGATTAGACATTGATGATGTTAATTGAAATGGAATGATTAAATCAATTAACCTATTCTTAGAATTGGGCTCGATCCATTAATGTACTTGATCCATTTTCCTCTCCCTACATATGAGTAACTCCATTCTAGCCAAATTTTCCTCTCCCATCTCTCTTGTATTCTTGCTGCTGACTTGATCATTGCAGTGTAAATCATCGTCAATTTTTTATCTCGGCTGGTGACATTTGTACACTAAAGGTGTGTTCCAGTGAGAATGCCTATGTGAATGAAAAGTGGTCGAGATCCGTTAACAAAGTGTCTCGCCGAATTTCGAGATATTAGTGTTCTTAAAGAGTGTTTAGCCATGTCTAAAAAAGGAAGAAAATAAACAATTGCTTCATAACATTTTCTGGCCATACCATCAAGAAAATGTTGATTGTACCGGACTTCCGAGCAAGTAGGTGTTTTCTCTAGACCAATATTGACAATGTAAATATGCAGAATCAAGATCGAGGATTATAGTTAAAGTGTTTCTTATTTAAAGCCGGTTTGAGTTTCATTTTTTTTTTCTTTTTGCTAAAAATGCATTTTATAACAGTGATTTGATGGAAAATGTCTGGTTAAAAGTAAAGAAAAGTTTTGAATTTGCGTGTAATATTATTTTATTAAAAAATGTGATTAAAAATAAGAGAAAAATATATTTTGTGAATAATGGCAATCGAACAAGGACATACTATCAACAAGTAACTTTTACTTTTTTTTAATTACATATACAAGAAAAAGTAACTTATTTTAATATATTCAAAGAAGAAAATTTACGGAATCAGCCATGACCGATGTTTTCTCCTGATCTTCCTCAACCACGAGGATTTGATGATATCCAGAAAATGCATCGAAGAAGCTGTACAATTTATGGGCCGACGTGCTATCCACGAGGTTGTCAATCCGAGGTAGGGAATAACTGTTCTTTGGGCACGCCTTGTTAAGATTTGTAAAGTCGATATAAACTCTCCATTTGCCATTGGCCTCCTTGATGAGCACGATGTTGGCGAGCCAGTCAGGGTATTGAACTTCTCGAATAAATTGAGCATTGATTAACTTATCAATCTCCTCTCGAATGACCTCACGCTGTTCTGGTGCGAACTGTCTCTTCTTTTGTTTGATCGGGCTTGTTTCTGGATTGATGTTGAGCTTATGGACTGCAATGCTGGGGTCTATCCCGGGCATATCCTCTACACTCTAGGCGAACACATCAACATTGCAGGATAGGCAACTTATGAGCAATGCCATGAGATTGACGTCAAGTTCTCGACCAATCGTCACATTCTTTTCAGGCTCGAGCTCGACCTCTACCAATTCTTCCAATGAAGCAAGTCGACTTCTAAGGTCAGGCTCGGGTTTGGATGACAAGATTTGCATGACTTTGGAACTCATTCACTGAATACTGGTCATGTAGCATTATCTAGCAGCTGAGTGGTCTCTGCGCACTACCCCAATACCATTATTGGTAGGGAATTTCATAGCAAGATGGAAAGTAGAAACAATAGCTCTAATCTTGTTGAGTAATGGCCTTCTTAGAATGGCATTGTAGGCAATTGAAGCACGGACCACCTGGAATGATGTAATTTCTATTACCTATTTTTTATTCACCCCCAGCGTGAGTGGAAGATTGACAATTCCCTCTGGAATGATTGTACCACCTCCAAATCCTTGAAGCAAGGTTTTAACAATTTTAAGTTGTTCGGCCGAAATCCCCATCCTAGAGTATGCCTCATGACGGCCGCGCTTCCATTGTCAACAAGTATCATCTTTACCTCAAAATTAGCTATGATCGCTAATATGACCATTGTATCATTATGTGGATGTGACAAGCCTTCCATGTCTTGTAACCTGAATGTGATTTCTTCCATGTCATCAGGTATCATCCTCAAGCTCGGGCTATACTGCCTGGCATACTGCTTACGTCTATTATTTGTGTCTCATCTTGATGTTATTCTCCCGACAATAATGTTAATAGTTCCTGCTATAAGCTTGTCATTTCCTCCTCTCTCGGGACCCTTCCCACTGTCTCGATCATTCCTCAGGCGCTTATCTTGACTGACGTATGAACTTAAATATCTCCTTTTTTTCAGAGCCTCAATCTCTCGCTGGAGGGCTTTGTAGCTCTCTGTTGTATGCCCATGGTCCCGATGATAATCACAATACTTGTTCCTGTCTTCAGTATTAGAAGGGGACTGCATCCTCGATGGCCTTTTAAATTCCTTCATATCCTTGATCTCTATTAAAATGTTAGACTTGGAAGTGTTCAATTGAGTTGATGACATCAGCTGTGTCTCCTACCTCGGTTTGTTCTTGCCAGCTTCTGGTCGAGAATTAAAATCACGATGTCTTTTGTGTTCGGGTTTCTCCTAGGTCGGATGAGAATTACTCATCGGGTTCAATGTTTCCTCCATATTAATGTATTTTTCTGCTCGGGTAAGTAGCTAGATTACAACTGGTTTTTTAAGAGGGACATCTTGAAGGCATCGCCTCTTATAGCATATGTGAAGGTAGAGATTGCAAATGTTATGTGAAGGTCGGGTATCTGTTGTCTTTCCTTGTTTAATCTAGTCATGAAGTTACGTAGTGATTCATTCGGCCCTTGCCTGAGCAGCATGAGGGATGCGACCGTCTTCTTGAAGCGTTTACTACTGGCAAAGAAAACAGAGAACTTGTTGGCCAAGTTAGGGGAATGAAGCAATGTAATTTGGCTCTAAGGTAGAAATCCAATCCCTAGCAGCGTTTGTGAGTGTTTGTGGAAAAGTTTTACATATTACGGGATCTAGTGCCACCTGTAGATTCATGACGTTCGTATACATGTTGAGATGGGGTTAGTTGTTCTATCATACTCCTTCATGCAGGGGAGTTTAAACCTGTCAGGGAGCTGATATGAGAACACTTACGGCGTAAAGGGAGTGTTAGGGGTAAATCCCGTCATACCTTGGGTGCTCTTTTGTAGTTCAGTAGTGATTCCATCTTGTATGATCTTGGCTAGCTCGCCGAGTCCATGGTGACCAACCTCGAGGCCGAGGCCATGGGGCACACCCGAGGCCCCGGATCCACCATTATCATGAACTTCTCGAGTATCCCGAGCTCGAGCATCGACCATGAACCTTCCTAGTTGTCCTACTGTCTGTGCCGACAGTTGTTCCGACGTCGGATGAGAATCCCTTTGGCTTAGTAATTGAGTCAGCGTTGCCACTTGTTGACGAAGTTCTTCGAAAGCACCCTCATCAACCACATGTGGTTGGGCAGCTGGTACTGCAGATGATTCCTCTTGATGAGCTGGGGGCTCCGCAACAGGTGGTGGGTTTGGTGCGGATGAGCTTGCTGGAGGAAGACCTGAATGTGTGTTGACCATAGCTTTTGGTAGCGTTTCCCACAGACGGCGCCAATGATGCTACCAAAAATCGTACATGTCGACTTCTAAGCTTGACCACTGAGAATGAGTACGAATGAGGTCTTCCAGTACCTGAAACAAAGGCATATGTGTCCTCGTCGCCCATTCGATGTTTAAGTTAGAGAGAGAATTTGTAAAAATATATGCTGAAAATTGTGTAAAAAACGTATCTTAATAATGAATTGGAATGATATATTTATAGAAGTAGGTAGTGCATTCTTAGTAGGATTAAAATGTTGAAACCTCTAGGAGTTCTAATGTAATTGGAAGTTGTAACTTAATTGGTTTTGTATCATTCCTGTGTTTGGATAAGGATATGACTCTGATGTTGAGTTCTTTTAGGACGAGGCAACATATTAGCATCTGGACCCTATATCTCTTATGTTTGGCTAAGATTCGTCATGATCTAGTGAGTCGAGGGTACGCTTAGTTTCTAATGAGCTAGGTGGTTATTCATTCGATGAAGTTATTGGACGAAAGAAAATAAATTTTCTCATTTCTAATGAACTAGGTGGTTATTCATTGGATGCCATTATATTGGTGACTTATATCTTAACTTTTGTTTGACTATGTTTGTAAGCTATTTATGAAAAGTGATAACGTTTTATATACATATTACTAAAAATTCATAGCTATTATTCCTTCATTTATATTTATTTATAATTTAAATAATTTATAAACACGACCATTTGCCTCGTTTGGCCTCAATTTTTTTTAAAATTCATTTTCAATCATACATTCTTTTATAAAATAATTTTATACGTAAACACAAAAAAATTTCTTATTTTTAATGACACATTTAGAAAAAGTTATTATTTTTAGTTACAATTTCTAAAAAAAAAAAAAAAAGGGGTTAAACAATGGCTTAATGTGTCTGAATTTATGATTGTGTTAATTTTTTATTATAATTATATATTATTTTTTGTTCACGTGTACTTCGACACGGTCTGCCTCACACTGAACTCCAGCCACCAAGCCTTTCACAGGTCAATTTTTTTTTTCCATTCCAAGATTCCAAGGTTGGGACTTGGGAGTAAACATAAATGAGATCCCAATTGAATATATTATTTCACAATATCAGTATTACAAATAAAAACAATATTACTCCCTGAACAAATCAAATCCCCCACCACTAAAGAATACTCTATAATCTCAGCAACAATGACAGATACATATATGAAGCATCAAATTAATAGTATTTCAAAGCAAAAACTACGAGCACAGCAAGAAGAAGCAATGGCGAAGCACTGAGCGAAGGGTGGGCCGCCGATGGGGTCACTCCTGCTCTGTTCCCTGTATCGCTGGTTGGGGCTCCCGTGCCGGTGGTTGCAGATGGTGGAGTTGGAGTTGCATCGGCTTCTGGAGAAAGTGGCGGAGACACGGGCTCTGTCGAGGTCGGAGCTGCAAAACAAAGATAATAAAAAAGCGAACCCTCCAAATGTCGAAACATTTTCCTAGAAAAGTTAAGAGCTATTGGAGTGAGAAACACATTTATTTATTTAAATTTAATTTTTTACACGTCCTTTATGTAACGATTGAACTTAATTTAGCCGGGAAAAAAAATGAATATATTAAATCCCAGATCAAATAAGGGAAGTCAAGCGGACCTTCAAAGTGTTGAAACATTTTCCAATAAAAGTCAGAGCTATTAACGTGAGAGACACGTTTATTTATTTATTTTTAGTTTTTGACATGCCGAACTTAATTTACTTCATCACATGCCTGTCAAAGTACACCATTCTTACAAATGTGTCCTGGTATACTAACCTTGAGAAGTAGGAGAAGGAGCAGATTTTGGTGACATTGTTGGTCCAAATGCTGTTGGGCCTGGAGCTGGGGCTGGAACAGGAGCACCAGACGCTACAGGATGAACACAAACACTGGATTAGGAAAATCTAAACTTCGTCAAGAAAAACAACTAGAAAAAACTAAGTCTCATTCTCAATAAATTCAGGTAAAAAAAAAAAAAAATTCTAAACTGCCCGACCAAATAACAACTCACCTTTGCACTGGAGGGGCACACTGGGCATGTTACAGGCGCGGGGGAGAGAAATGGCTAAGGTCCGGTTGATAGGCATGTTAAATGGAACACTACCAGTCGCGATAAGGCAGAGACAGTCCTTGCCACTGCTCATTAAAGTTTTGAGTGAATTGCAGCAATCTGCAGAGGGAGAAGTCCCATTAAGGCTACTATTGGTAAGAAAATTCATGCACGGTGTGAAGGTAGAAATCATTGAAGGGGTGCATGGTGTAGTGATTTGGGCATGAATAGGCAATGTTAGGACCATTAGGGAGATTGCTAAAGTCAGAAACAAGAATTGGGTAGCCATGGAACGTATTTGTAAATTTTTTAAGTTTTGGAGAAGTTGAGGGTTGTGTTGTCTCAAGGTAAAGTTGGAGATGATGTGCATCAAGAATTTGTTGTGAATTTATAGATGGAGGGAAGAATAATGGATTGTTTTCAAGTGGATTTTGTGGCTCAACTACTTTAACAAACTCCTCTTTTGATTTATTTTTAATTAAGTTGAAATGTTTCTTGTTTTTGGCATATTGGTTCTTTGCTAATTTTCCTTTGAGTTCCCATGTGTATCTCTTCGATTGATTGTTTCGTAATATTAGGTTTCCACGTATGATTATTGGTGAATTTTTGGCCATCTTCATGTTATGATGAAATATTCAATGATTGAGCCGTAAAATTGTCATACAAGTAGTGAAGAACAGGTATGCATAAATATCATATCATGGGTTTGCACGAAGAACCTAGTTTTATTATGAGCTTGTTTGGGAATGATTTTCTAAAAATCAATTTTCCTAAAAAGTTAGTTTTAATCACAAGTTTAATGCAAAGCATAACTTTTTCATGCTTTATAACCACTTATTATACAAAAAATCATTTTTCACTTTGAAAAAATCTCTCCCAAACAAGCTTTATATGTATATCAATAAATGCAATTGTAAATCAATATACTTCTTGTTGTGGCTTCATGTATTGCCTCTCACTTCGCGAGTTCACTGACAAGCAAAAATGATTCATATAGTGACTGGAATTTATTAGAAAATAAGGTAAAATTTGTGGTCGTTTCCAAAAGTTTCAATATCCTTATTTCCCATTTTAGAAAATATTTGACAGGCAAATCTTTTGTTTCTTAATATTGTTGATTACTATATAGTTCAAACAAGTTATTAATGTTACATATAAGAGTTGAATACCCTTTTTGTAAATAGAATTAGAGGTTTAAATGTGGTCCAAACCCGACCATATGTGCCCCACAGCTGCATGCGACATGGGTTGGTCTGTTTAGAGGAGCAGGTCATGCTGGGCACAAGTCTCCAGGTACGTGACCCTTGAGAGCCTTTCGCTTGGCCAATAGTCCCTGTGAGATAATTAGGACACCAACTAATACCTAATCAGACATTCTTTTCATAAGACATGATCTGATAACAAAAGTTGATTTTAAAAAATACATCAACATCATATCAAGTCAAACTGTTAGGTGATCAGCCACCAAATTTCTATCATATATTAATAGGAAATTGAAAAGAAACTTTTATGCTTTTTCTATCGAACGATCGAAATACTTGTTGAATTTCAATTTCATTTATTTTATTGGTATGATTATTTACTGACTTATGCTTGATATATATGGTCGATTTATAATCTGATTTTAATACATAATTGTGGGAAATTGTTAGAGAAAATCTAGTTTCTAGAGTTACATTTTAATTAAATTGATTTTTAACGATAAATCTTCCAATTAGAGTGTTGGGATGAAAGCCTCTAATTGAGATATAAAAAAATGAATAATTGACATTGAATGATTCAATGCAATTGAGCGAATTCCGACGCTTCACTGTTTTAACTCATTGATTTTAATTTCATTATTTGATCCATTGATATTTAAATTTTATTTCGAAAAACAAATTAGTTTCAAACCATTCATGAAAAACTCTAATTTGTTGAATCCTTGAGTATTTTTTCATCTCCCTGTGAAATCGACATCCCAAATCTGTGCTACAATTACTGCGTTATTCTTTTAGCGTAATCACAATCGAAGCAACTGGAGGAGTAATTACCGAAAGAATCGGAGGTACAATGACTAAAGTAACATCCATATTATCATTGACAGTAGTCATTTATGTTACACAAATAGAAGATAAGCCAAACCAAATTTAAGATCAAGAGAAAGTAGAGAAAGTTAAATCGAAAACAAATTTCCGTTTAACCGAGAAAAAAAGAATTTAAATAAAGACATCACTTTACAAAAACAATTTGTCTTAAATTGTAGATTATAATAAGTGATAAAGTGATTTCTTTATAATAATAAATGAGAGATGAACTTACCCAACCTTAGCACTAATAGAATCTAAGTTTAAAACCCGGTAAATAAGGTACCAACTCTGAAAACACACAATTTAAAAAATGAATACAAGAATATCGAGGTAAGAGTTGAATTCTTTGTCCTTAAGACAAATTTGAACCCCCCCCCCCGCCCCACTAGTATTAATGGTGGTTTGACAATTGTCTTTTAAGATACAACGTCAACTTCTTGTTATGACATCACTTTGAATTACAAGAAACGACGAACCAAACGAAGTTTCGTACTCCTTTTTATTTAAAAAAGCATAAGATTTTGATGCAAAACTTTGACAAGATAATGATGTTATGTGATATACTTTGATTGCATAAAATGGAAATAAACGAACCATGACATAGAGGTCCACTTTATAAAGGTAAAGGTTGAAGAGTTGCACACGAGGTAATACAAACCAATCTTGAATCTGTTCTCGAAAAGTTGCACAGTGGCCATTCGCTAACCACCCACGAGGCCGCTCGAATGCCCACAATAGGGACATTGTCGCTCGCAAAGCACAAGACGGCCGCTCTAGTGGGGATTTTGATTTTTGAATTTCCTAGTTTTAATTAAAAAAAATCATGATTTCCAACCTATCTTCATTCATTAACTTCTCATTCATACAGATGTAGTTTTTGACTTCCAAATATACAAAACTCATCTACTTTACAAGTAGAATATGTTCGACCCAATTCCTCAAAAAATTCGAGTAGTAGGACCCATCTAAATATTTAGTCAAAGATAGATAAAAATCAACTTTTTCAACTATTTTCCAACACTATCCACTTGTTCACCACTCATTTCTATTTATTTATAAATTAAATTATTTAAAATTCTTTCAAAAAGAGGCCAAAAATATAGAATACAAGTCTCATTTAAAATTACATGTTAATTAATTGTTCTTCATGAATCTACTTGCATAAAATGATCCTACAAGGACACACACACGAGGGGTTTTAGAACCGTGCATCCTCCTCAACAATTTTTAGGAGGCATCTTGGCTTAGCTTCTTTTTGCTCGCTGTCGGGTTTCAGAATTCCTTAGTAGCTACCCCACCCATCCTATTTCTTTATTTAAAAATTGTATTTCGCTTTGCTCAGTCCGAGTCACTAGAAAGAGGGTGAAATGCCAACTACTTCTTCACTCATGGCCTATTTTGTGATTGATCTCCCTTCGACAGTCAAAGAGACATCACTACATAATAAAAGAAAAATAAGCTTCCCCATAATTGCTTCATGTGAGCAAAGCTCTAATATTACTCCTCACTGAGTTCTATCAATATATAATCACAAACCTTTGGGTTCAAAGGAAAAGATCCAAGGTCGTCTAGCTGGACAATTGAAGTATTATAATCGAACTAAAATGCTTGGAACAAATTGGATCTGCAATGAACCTAAAATAGTTGAGGCCACATGAATCAAGTATCCCATCTCTTCAAAGGAAGAAGTGAAAATATCTTATTAACGACTTGGTGGCACGAAAAAAGTGGGCCATGGCACAAGCATTTATAGGAGCATATATGAAATATGATTTAGGGAACCTTACGAAAGTAATAGTGTAATACCCCGAACATCATATTACACACTTGGCCAATATGATTCATGCATTTCACGCTATTTACATTGCCATCCACATTTGGATCAATGTTTCATAATTGCTCTCTCATATAATGTACATTCGATCATTGAGGTCTTAAGATTTTTATATGGTATTAGTCTTCGACCTCCTTGACTAGGTGGTGAATTGTATATTGAGTTATGGTGGAAAATTAGATTAGTCGAAATGTTGGATATTTGATTTGTTAAACAATTGTAATCTTGAAAGTGTTCAGAATATTATCAGGTTATATGCTTTCGATATGGTTACCCTAAACCCTAATTAAGTCTTTAACATATTTGGGACATGAGGAATGACGTGACACGATCACAACACAATAATATAAGGTTCAAGTGACATTATAAATATTAAGATGCAAATTGTTGAAATTGATCGAAGATCGGGTATCAATCAGGTAAGTAATCGAATGAACGGTCAAGGAAGGTACTTGATAAAACATATTGGGTTCTTAGGGCAAGTAAAATAGGTTGTGAACACATTAAAATAGGTCAAGGACACTTGATTTATACCTACAAAGATAGATGAAAAATCAAATTTTTACAATAAGAGAACACCTTATGCTTGCTGATTTCTCTTTATAATGGTCAATTCTTTCATTCCTAAGCATTACTCAGCCTAAAACTCTTTGAAGACCTTATACATGTAGTACTTATCTCCTAAATTATATATAACTCCTCCAAGGATAGGTACAAAAATCAGG